ATAAAAGTCAATTATTCTAAACTTTACTCCTGCGAAAGGGTTGCTGGTTTTTAATATCTTCAGATACACATTATTAATAGAATGAAAACTGATAGGCAAATGCAGGGAAAGGGTTGTCATTGCTTACAGAATCCTAGTTCTTATTTTATCCTGTCTCTTATTACATAAAAGTTACTAAGGATTCATAGGATTTGTCTTTGTTACTCTCTCAGTTCTTGTTCTGGCCTCTCTACCTCCACAGATCCTATATCTAACTGCCCCCAATAAGAGCCATCCTCCCAAATTACTTTCCCCTTTTCTTACCTTATCTAAACTCCCATCCACTCAATGAGCTAATTTCAGTCAGTGTACAACTCACAGACAGATGAAACAGTGAAAAAGCAAAGTCCTCAGGAGATTAAATTAAATTCAGTCCCAAGAAAAGATGATTCCTTTGTGTGTTGAATAAAGTATTTGGATTAAAATAATTCACACTAAATTTCATATAACTAATATTTCTTTCATAAGTAAAGTCTGCATTTATAAAAGGATGCTTTTTAATTCATAGAAACTGTTTCTTTTTTATTGCATTTTAAGTTTTGGGGTACATGTGCAGAACATGCAAGATAGTTGCATAGGTACACACATGGCAGTGTGTTTTGCTGCCTTCCTCCCCTTCACCCACATTTGGCATTTCTCCCCAGGCTATCCCTCTAGCTCCCCCACCCCGCTGTCCCTCCCTTATTTCCCCCAATAGACCCCAGTGTTTAGTACTCCCTTCCCTGTGTCCATGTGTTCTCATTTTTCATCACCCGCCTATGAGTGAGAATATGTGGTATTTCATTTTCTGTTCTTGTGTCAGTTTGCTGAGAATGCTGTTCTCCAGATTCATCCATGTCCCTACAAACGACACAAACTCATCATTTTTGATTGCTGCATAATATTCTATGGTGTATGTGTACCACATTTTCCCAGTCCATTCTATCATCGATGGACATTTGGGTTTCTTCCAGGTCTTTGCTATTGTAAACAATGCTGCAATGAACATTCGTGTGCATGTGTCCTTATAGTAGAATGATTTATAGTCCTTTGGATATATACCCAGTAATGGGATTGCTGGGTCAAATGGAATTTCTATTTCTAAGGCCTTGAGGATTCGCCACACTCTCTTCCACAATGGTTGAACTAATTTACACTCCCACCAACAGTGTAAAAGTGTTCCTATTTCTCCACATCCTCTCCAGCATCTGTTGTCTCCAGATTTTTTAATGATCGCCATTCTAACTGGCATGAGATGGTATCTCAATGTGGTTTTGATTTGCATCTCTCTAATGACCAGTGATGATGAGCATTTTTTCATATGATTGTTGGCCTCATGTATGTCTTCTTTTGTAAAGTGTCTCTTCATATCCTTTGCCCATTTTTGAATGGGCTTGTTTTTTTCCTGTAAATCTGTTTGAGTTCTTTGTAAATTATGGATATCAGCCCTTTATCAGATGGGTAAACTACAAAAAGTTTTTCCCATTCTGTTGGTTGCCGATTCACTCTAGTGACTCTTTTGCCGTGCAGAAGCTGTGGAGTTTGATTAGGTCCCATTTGTCTATTTTGGCTTTTGTTGCCAATGGTTTTGTTGTTTTGGTCATGAAGTCCTTGCCTACTCCTATGTCCTGAATGGTTTTGTCTAGATTTTCTTCTAGGGTTTTTATGGTGTTAGGTCTTATGTTTAAGTCTTTAATCCATCTGGAGTTAATTTTAGTGTAAGGTGTCAGGAAGGGGTCCAGTTTTTGCTTTCTGCACATGGCTAGCAAGTTTTCCCAACACCATTTATTAAACAGGGAGTCCTTTCCCCATTGCTTGTTTTTGTCAGGTTTATCAAAGATTGTTTGGTTGTAGATATGTTGTGATGCCTCCGATGCCTCTGTTCTGTTCCATTGGTCTCTATCTCTGTTTTGGTACCAGTACCATGCTGTTTTGATTACTGTAGCCTTGTAGTATAGTTTGAAGTCTGGTAGTGTGATGCCTCCTGCTGTGTTCTTTTTGCTTAGAATTGACTTGGCTATGTGGGCTCTCTTTTGGTTCCATATGAAGTTCATGGTGTTTTTTTCCAGTTCTGTGAAGAAAGTCAATGGTAGCTTGATGGGGATAGCATTGATTCTGTAAATTACTTTGGGTAGTATAGCCATTTTCACGATATTGATTCTTCCTAACCATGTATATGGAATGTTTCTCGATCTGTTTGTGTCCTCTCTTATTTTGTTGAGCAGTGGTTTGTAGTTTTCCTTGAAGAGGTCCCTTACGTTCCTTGTAAGTTGTATTCCTAGGTGTTTTATTCTTTTTGTAGCAATTGTGAATGGCAGTTCGTTCTTGATTTGGCTCTCTTTAGGTCTGTTATTGGTGTATAGGAATGCTTGTGATTTTTGCACATTGATTTTATATCCTGAAACTTTGCTGAAGTTGCTTATCAGTTTCAGGAGTTTTTGGGCTGAGGCGATGGGGTCTTCTAGGTATACTATCATGTCGTCTGCAAATAGAGGCAATTTGGCTTCTACCTTTCCTATTTGAACACCCTTTATTTCTTTTTCTTGCCTGATTGCTCTGGCTAGAACTTCCAGTACTATATTGAATAGGAGTGATGAAAGAGGGCATCCTTGTCTAGTGCTAGATTTCAAAGGGAATGCTTCCAGCTTTTGCCCATTCAGTATGATATTGGCTATTGGTTTGTCGTAAATAGCTTTGATTACTTAGAGATACATTTCGTCAATACCGAGTTTATTGAGAGTTTTTAACATAAAGGGCTGTTGAATTTTGTCAAATGCTTTCTCTTCTTATTGGAAGATAGGTAGTATGACAAAATCTAAGGAAAGTGTAAAGACAAAATCAAAAATACAAATGCGGAAAGTACTGAGTCAAAAAAAGAGAAGGCATGTAATTGATATATCAGTCCAAAAGCCCAAACTTTAAAGAATCAAAAAAAAAAGATAAATCGCCACCCCACTTAATCCTAGAGAAAAACTAAGCAGCATGAAGGTTCAATATCAAAATGCAAATGTAGTTAAATTAACTAGAACTATAAAGAAATTTAGGAAACTTGCATTATAAATATTTTGTACAAACCTAAAATAATAAATTTGGAAACCTAAATGAAAGCCTTTCTAGGAAAATGTAAATGATCATCACTGTATTATAGAGCTTGGAAAATTATTTACGAGACATAGGCAGACACGTCACAGAATAAATTTAGAAAGATACTAGTTAACTACCCCAAACTGCCAGATAATTTCTCAGGTAAATTTCTTCTTATCTTTAAAGGGCTGTTAATTCTGTAACTTTTTAAGGAGAGATGAAAAATGAAAAGTCTAAATTCTAGGAAGTCAACATCATAGTTAACTAAAATCTGAGAAAAGATACACATGCATGTGTGCACACATGCAGGCATGGACACACACACACACACGGCCACACACATATACTCACACACACACACGCTCAGTCCTAAATAAAATATGCAACAGTCCTAAATGAAATATTAAATTAAAAGAATGAAGCAAAAATTACTTAACATTAGACAATGCATGAGCATTTACTATATTAACATAAAAAGGAGAAATGATGACATCTATAGATGCAGAAAGACATTTGAAAAAAATTCACCATTCCCTTACTGATACTTTTGCATGAAAGCAAAACTGAAGTTAGTATCATAATATATTATTATGAATCAGAGGCATTTATAAGATAAAGATGCTTAGTTTCATCATTATTAGTTAACAATGTTTTAAAAGCATAAACCAATTTTTAAAAAGAATAAAAGAAAAAGTATAAATATTAGGAGAAGCAAAATTGTTTGCAGAATAACATTTCTAGAAAAATTCATGAAAAAACTATTAGTAGTAAGAAAATTTGGTAAATGATTACAAATTTAAAAGAAAAAAAACAGCTTTCTCACCAAAAAAAATCAAAAGTTTTCCAATATATCAACAATAACCAGCTAAAACACAAAAGAGGAAAAATTCTATTAACAGCAACACAAATGAAACACATGAAGGAAAAAGCTAAAAATAAAACATGAAGGATCTACATGAAGAAAACTAGCATTCTGTGTAAAAGTCATCAAAGATTTGAATAAATGAAAAGCTGTATCTTGGTTTTGGATAGAATGATATGTATCATAAATATGTCAATTCTACCTAAAATTTTCTGTAATTCAATGCAATTTTGATCCAAATGCTACACATGGTATCTTGTATTCTAAATCTACATGACTTAGAACAATAACTCTACAGTATATATAGAGAAGTAGAAGCATAGTCTCTGGAACCTGACTGCCTGGCTCAAATTGCAGCTTCACTGCTTACCAGCCTTGTCACCTTGGGCATGTTATATATTCTTCTAATGTCTCAGTTTCCTCACTGCCAAGATTGAAATAATAATAATATATCCCTGACATGGTTGTCAGAATGATGAAAATAAGTATATATGTGAAACAGAAATACTGCACATATATGCTTGACACATACTGGTGGCATTCTTATCTGGGAAAATAAACACATTAAAAGATTCAGGAAAATTCAGAAAAATAATAGTAATGGTGGTGGTAGGAAAACATGAACTAGACATACCAGAGAGTAAACTTTATCTTGAGGCTACAGAAATGAAAACAGATTTGTACTATTACAAGGATGGGCAGACAATGGATTTGAACATAATCCAAAATAGATCCCAAACAAATAGTAGTCTTGCAAATTAGTGGGGGGAAAGGCATTATTTAATAAAAATCATTTGGAAAAAAAATCAGATCTCCATACCATGACTTTCACCAAAATGCAACCCATATGAATCAAAGACTTTAACTTAGGAGAAAACTGAAACCATAAACATATAAGAAAATACAGGCAAATCTTTTCACAATCCTGGAATAAGGAAGGCGGTTATAAGCATGACATAAAACCTGTAACTATACACAGAAAATCAAGTCAAAAGACAAATGACAAATTTTGAAAAATATATGCAACACATATGACTAAAGGCTGACATCTTTATTATATAGAGAATTTGTAAACACTCATAAGGAAAAGATGAACCACCCAATAAGAATATGCACAGGTAATTCACACACACAAAAATGAATGGCCAATAAACATGTAAAAGGATGCTTAACCTCAGTAACAGAAGAAATAACCATTTTAATCCTGTATTTTTATAACCATTTCTCACATACACTCTCAACTTTCTTGCTCTCTCTGGCTTCAAAAATCTCTATTCTGGCTAACATGTCACCTTGATTAAGCCACCATTCCTAACTCTATACTTTAGTCCCTCTACACTTCAAAGCTTTTTGAAAAAGTTGTCTACATGTGTGCCCAATTTGTTTCTTCCAATTTTTTCTTAAATTACTCCAATTACAACACTCCACCAAAACTGTTTGTCATGACTGTGAGCACTGCTAAATCCAATGACAATTATCAGTCCTCATTTGACTTGACCTTGTAGCAGCATTTGACATAATCCATTACTCTCCTTTTCAAAACAATCTCTTCACTTGACTCTATCAGTTTTCCTCTTAACTCAACAACTGCTTCTTTTCTGTTTCTTTCTTCCACTCTTCCTTAATCTGTCTCATGACTCTAAATATCGTTTGTTGACTCCAGTTTTTTTATCCCAGCCCAACTTCTATGAATTCCACACTTACATACCAGATTTTCTACTTGATATCTCCTCTTCGATTTCTTTTTTTTTTCACTTCCCAGAAACCTTGCAGTTAGTACAACCAACAAAAGGCCTGCTGGGGAATGTATTTGCCACTAAATTCCCCAAGTATGCCAACATTACAAAAAAGATAGAGGTTTTTCATCATAAATTTCCACAAACCTCCCCAATCACAAGTATTATAAGAGGAAGTAAAAAAATCACATTTTACAGATCTCAAACTTGTCTTCAACATTTAGTTCATCATCTTCAAAAAATAGCTCCCCTGCTAAACTCAATAGCTATATGATATATCCAAGCAGCCAGAAGATGGCCATGCCATGGCAATCCTCTTCCCATTTTCCCTAGCCACTGAGGGCTGAAGAGTAGGGTGAGGCTCAGGTTGGGGTAGGGGTGGGGAGCACAAGGGCTACTTTCCCCCAGTACAGCATGGCATCTGAAGTTTGATGGGAGAGCGGAACTGTTGAGACTTGAGGGAAGAGTCCAGGGCCTCTACTCAGTCACTACTGGAAAAGGAGGAGGAAGAGGAGAAGGAATGCTTGCCATGCTTGTGCATCTTTTTATGAGCTTTCTTTATTTTCTTCTGCAGCTTCTTGTCCACTATCACTGCTGCTCTGACCATGCCAGGAGCCAAGGGATTCATAGGAGGCATTCCACGGGCAAGCAGTGGGTATGGAACAGGGTAGGGACCTGAGGGTTGGCATCCTGGATACCCTTGCTGTGGCACAGGAGGAGGGGGCCCACCTGGATTGCTCTGGGGAGCTCCTGGGGGAGAAGGAAAGGGTGGATACACAGGTGGTAGGTGGGCAGGACTGGAACCTCCAGGGTACCCGATGTTGGGGGGATATGGATTTGGCCCTGGCTGCACGGCACTGGGGTTCTACATGTTTAGATGTGTCCTCCAGCCCCAAGCTGCAAAGTGACTCTTTACCCAGGAAAAGGAAAAAATTAGGGAATCCTGATACTCCGTCACCTTTCCACCACCGCCTGGGCTTGATGCATTCTCCTTCCCAATCTCCATCCTCTTGGATTTCTAATGGGAAAATTTTTACCATATCCAAATCCAATTCCTGGTCGCTCCATCGTCTCTCTTTCAGTGAATGGCAATTCCATTCCTCCAGTTGTTCAGGCCAAAAGTCTCAGTGACAGTTTTGACTGTTCCTCTGAAATCCCATGCATCTAATCTGGAAGGAAATACCTTTAAAAATATATTCAAGATCTGACCACTCATTACCAATTCCCTGATGGTACCAACTACCTAGTGGTACCATCATTTTTCACTTAGAATACTGTCACTGGCTCCTGTCTGGTCTCCCTACTGCCACCTTTGTCTTCTTGTAGTGAGTTTTCAACACAGCAAAGGAAACCCTAAAGCATCAGTGGCATCTTGTCAAACAATCTAATGGCTTCCCATCCTGTTCACTGTAATCCAAGGCCCTTAATGGGCTGACTCTCCTTACCTGTCATCTCTCAGATTTTTGTCTTTTACTTTACCCTTGGCTCACTGCATTCCAGGTACACTAGCCTTTTGCTTCCAGGCTTTTGTGCTTCATATATCACTCTACTGGAATATTCTTTATGCACTGTCCAAGTTAATCTCCTCAGGGAGGTCTCCTATGACAGCCCTATTTAAGCACCACTACCATCCCCATTGCAGACCCTACTCTCTCAATTTCTTTCTTTTAAAAATACTTATCACCAATTGCCATTATATTTTCTTCACTGATTACTCCTCTACAATGCAAGTTTTATTTGGGCAGGACTTTATTCTATTTTGATCACCGCGGTTCCCTTGCATCTAGAACACTGGTAATCCCTAAATAAATGATGCTTAGTAAAATTGGCAGAAAAGGCCCCACTAACACCTGGCACATGCAAGGGTTAAATAAAAGAGTACACTCTTATATGCTGTGCTAATTTGGCAATATTTATCAAAATTTAAAATGTTTACCTGTTGATGTAACAATTTCTTAGCACCCTACAAATTAACACAGGTATGCAAATATGCATACTTATGTTTATCTGAAAACTTGTTTTTAACTATTAAAAAAAAACCTTAATAGTCATCTAAGATATATCATTTGGTACTGATATAGAGAGTTTCCCAAAATAGTTTGATTCCATTCTTGCAGAAAATACAGTAAATGCAGTATAGTATCTATACTATACATGTACCTTAACATCAATTCACAATGTCTAGAAGGATATACAAATGGGGAAATGAGGTACTAAAAGAGTGACTTGTTTTTCTGCCTTATTCCTTTTATAATATTTGAATGTTTATATTACTTAAAAAATTTAAAGATATATTTTAAATGTGCAAAGAAAAAGTCACATGATTTTCAGCATACTGTTGCTAGTGGCAAACTTTAGAAAACTGAACTGAGATTGGGCAAAATATTTGCTGGCTCTCCATGTATGTATGTATGTACATATGTATATGTATGTATTTCTATGTATGTATATACGTATATGTATACTTTAGACATGGGGTCTCACTGTCACCCAGGCTGGTGACATGATCATAGCTCACGGCAGCTGTGTACGTACTGCTAGGTTCAAGTGATCCTCCTGCCTCAGCCGCTCAAGTAGCTGGGCCTAAAGGCCTGTGCCACCACATCCAGGTAATTTAAAGAACTTTTTCTTTAAATAGAGACAAGGTCTCGCTGTTGCCTACAGTGGTCTTGAGCTCCTGGCCCCAAGCAATCCTCCGGCCTGGCCTCCCAAAGTGTTAGGATTACTGACTGATATGTGCCACGGCACCGAGCTCTCTTCCTTAACATTTTTACGTTATTTAAATTTGGTATCACAGTGAATAGGAGGTATAATTAAAAACAGTAATCATGATACTGAAATACAATTTAAAGAATAATGAAAGGTAAAAGGACATTTATTAGTTGATAAATAGTATGCTGCAAATAAACATCATGCATTTTGAAATGAAAATGATTTTATGGTTTTATGAAACAATAATAAGCTCTATCTTCTTCTTTGGAAAGACAGAAGTCTATTTTAAAGTATGAAAAACATTTACCTTTCCTATTCAAGGCTAAATAACATTATATAAAAGGTAAAGGAAGGTAATACTTGCCGAACACGAGGACAAGTGACTTCTTTCAGCTCGTGCTGAGGGAAGCTGCCCTCATACCACACAGACACCAGGAGGAAGCCCTTGTGGAGAGTGTACATTTTTACTTGTCAAGGACAATGAGCATCCCCAAAGTACAGGTTATAGTATCTCACATATATCCACAAACACAGTCAAATATTTAAATAGTTTCAACCACAGGAGTTGGCATGATTCTGTTTTTTTCATTTTATGAAAAAATTTTAAGAAGTATTTTGTCATTTACTAATCCCAGGAGGTAATTTTGCTTTGATTGGATTTGGGACTCATTGATTAGCAGCAGAACTGGTTGTGAAAATAAGATGAAGAAAGATTACTTTAAACTAGTAATGCTGTATGTGTAATTTGAAACTCCTGACCATGGGAAGGGAAATCATAGGAAAAGTGAAGAGAAAAAGATCATGAACCCCAAGGATGTAGTTTGAGGATAGATTCTCCCTTACTTCCAGGGGAGTGAAAACATACAGAAATCTAAGTAAGGCTTGTTGGTAACCAGCTAGGAGACTTCCTCTCTGGAAGCTTTCCTGAGAGGCAAATTTCAACATGGGGTACTAATCCATGAGTCTAGTCTTGTAAAGAAAGTCTTTCTGCTCCTACATTGGAAAAACATGGAAGAGCAAGGAGCATAATTAATGATATTTTAATTGGAATTTATTTCCTAATGAAGTATTAAAAACAAACAATTTATAGGTAACTAGAGTTTAGTTTTACTGAGCTCTTCTAAGCATTATAATATGTTACAAGACTGTGAATTGTCAAATGAGAATGAATAATTTAGTTCCTCTGACTTAAGTGCTTCAGAAGATAGGAAAATTAAGACATTTAATATCTATAGTCTCCACTTCTGAGATATGTTGTCTTTACAAATATGAGTAACATATATGAATTATATAGAGAAATGCCACAGTACATAAATGCTAAATTAAAAGTGATATAGAAAATAAATACTGTAAGAGTCCTTACCTAATTATGTTAATCTCTTTTATGCCTTGCTAATGTGCCACAGAGGTCAAATTGAGTATTTTGTTTCTTTTTTATTTGAAATATATTGGAAATCAAATATATGTCATTTGGAAACATGAAACATTTGAGAGGTTAAATGAAATATTTGGAAATATGAAATATTTGGAAAGTTGGAAAGTTAAATAAATTTGAACTGTCATACCAAAAAATTCCTCGTTTTGTTTTACCTGAGTTACCTGAGTAGCAGTGTGAATTATAATCCTCTCTGGACATAACTTATTCCAGAAAATAAATAATATCCAATAAACCAGAAGACCATGCAAAGTAACTACTCATTTTCTTATATAAATCTTTTTCTTGGAGAGCAAGTGGGCTCTGTGATGAAAGAAGTGGACATTCTTGGAAAAACACATATAAATAGCAAATTTAACACCAGATATGAAAAGGAACTGGGAAATGGGCATTTTAAAAGTGCTTTAAAGAAATAACATATCACATTGCTATTACTGATAAATAGAAAAGCTTACAACCAATGCTCCTCGTTTACTTCTGTACCCTGTTCCAAACCCTGACCCAGAAAGTGCTTATCATATATTCAGTGCTTTATATGCACTGAATCAGTTAATCCTTACAGGAGCCACTTCAAGTAAGAGTTATTATTATATTTATTTTATAGCAATGAAACTGAAACTTAGAGAGGTTATATAACTTGCCAAAGGTTGACCAGTTGGTACCGGTAGCCAGGATGGTACCTTAGGCCATGGGGTGCTGGAATCCATGCTCTGAACAGGTTACTGTACTGTCTCTCCAAAGACAGCAGGAGAGTAGAACACATAAATGAAAAGAAAATCCTTACAATAAAAAATGAAACCGAATAAAAGTGAGGTTTCCAATGAATTATTAAAGACTTCATTGACAAGTACTTAATCAAAACTTTCTGAATGTCTTAGAATCTAAGCTGATAAAATTGAAAGTACCCTTATTATTCTCCTTTACTTCAGAACGAAAATGGAAGACATACATATTATTAACCACAAAACCTCAGGTCAGATATTGTTTTGTTCTCTTAATTCGAAGTTTCTGATGGCTCTCCAATTGCTTATGCCATAAATTCCAAACTCTCATCCATGGCAAATAAGGGTCTCCTAACTGCATACCTAATGGCTTAAACGATCTCTTCATCTTCACTTGCTACTATTCTGCAAAGTAGATTCCATTTCCCAGACATCCCTGAACGTTCATGCTTCTGCTATGCATTCTTCTTCTCTAGGACCAAATTCCTACTCATCTTTTGGAACTCATATCCTGTCCATCATCAACAATCCTTTCCAGGAATCAATGCCACTAGTTTGTTTCCTCTTCTGGACTACAATACCCATGTCATTGGTCCCTTGTCTCTATTTACCACATAGCAGCCAGGGTGATCTTTCAGAAACATAAAGCAAAACGTATCACTCTGCTTCTTAAAGCCTTCCAATGGCTCTCTATTGTTCCATCATTCCTGCAAGGCTCCACATTTTTGGGCCTGCAACTTTTCCACTATTCTATTCATTCTCACTAAGTGACCTGTTTGTTTTTTGTAAAAGGCAAGGCTTCTCCATGCCCTTGCACTTGCCTTTCCCTCTGCCTGGGATGCTCTATCTCCAACTCCACAAGGCTGGCTCTTTCTTTTCCACTCCAGTGTCATAGTTCCAAAGAAGACTTCCATGACCATCTAAACTAACATGCTCTATCCTTTACTCTTTCACATCATCCTATTTATTTCCTTCAAAGCATCCATCACAGTCTGTAAGTAT